AGGTGTTTTTTCTTTTACTGGAAGTGCCATCCTTTCTTTATCCAAAAAGGAGCTAGAGTAAGCCAGCCTTTCTTTGGTTGTCTTTTCAGAAAAGCAAAGCCCTTCCTTGCAATATTTATGGTAGCTTGGCTCTAGTGTGTATGTATGAGCTGTGACAGCATCCTCATGTTAGCCAGGCTCCGTTCCTACTCCCTCGTGAGTGAACATTAGGGAACCAGCTTTTAAGTGAAACCTGTGTAATATGGCAAAAGCTGGGAGACTAATAGATGCAGGTGTTCGCAGTATTGGTATGAAATGTGGTGTTTGTATTAGTGTTGTGGTAGCAACGGTCTTTTTAACAGTGAGACGGTAATTTGGTCCAAAGCCCCTGTTTTTAGCAGTCTTTTGAAATAACTGCTTTCAACCTGTTTCTGTTTCTCAAACTTGTTGCCTAAGTAGGGCTCAGCTGCAGAGAGAACCAATGACTCTCACCTAAGCTTTGTTTCCTTACTCAGTATTGAGCATAATAACTTGTCTATATCTGAAAGGCATTTTACCTTCTGAGATTTGTAAACCTCAGAAGCAGTCTTGGGCTGAAGACTTTGTTTTCTTTATAGCTGTTCCCATGCTTAGTCCTCCCTGTTTAATGTGAGCTCCCTGCCTGCCCATGAATCCATCTTCAGCTTCTACTCACTGGTGAATCTACTGCACCTTTCTGTAGCAGCATGAGGAGCCTTTTTGTGCATTATCTGTCTACCCCAATGAAAAGAGTTATTAATGGCTTGTCACTTCTAAAATCTTTTAGATAAGTTACAGATTTGGGGGTTGATTACTTATTATGAGGAATTTTGTTGGGGTTTGACTGACTTGCAGAGAAGAGTTGTTGTGCTATATCATCTCCATTCTTCTCCACTATCCTTAGGAAAATACTTTTTTAATACTAACATTTTGAGTAAGATGAAGAATTTAATTTTTATTGAGTCGCTGTCCAAAACAGCTGTAGTGAAGATGATCCTGCAAGGTGTATCTGTCCAACTGTGTCTAGTCCAGCAGACCTCAATGTCACATCTGTAGGTCTATGAGGATTCATGGACTGCTTGGATGGTAGATGACTAAGGAAGAAAAGCAAACCTGTTAGTGTCAGGCTTAAACACTTTGAGGGCTCGGTCAATTTATTGGAAAAAGCCTGGGGAATAATAGCTTAATTGTGATTGAAAATCACTGGTCTGGTTCAGTAGCTTGAGATTATAGACTAGTATATAAATTGCTGGCTGTTCCCATTGAAGAGGCAGCAACAAAACCCCCATACCTGATCTCCGAGTGAACAAGCCTGGGCTTTATCCACATGTGGATGTCAGGCTTAGGTGGAAAGTCTGTGAAAAGCTTGGAACTAACAGGGCAGATATAAGATTGCTTCTGGCAGAGAAAAGAGTTTCTCCTGCAGCTCAAGAAGTAATCCTTGTGCTTGCAGATGCACAGATTCCAGGTTCAGTTTTCTGTTGGAACAAATTCCTCCCAAGTAAGGACAATTGTTCATTTGATGGCTACTTCAAGATGGGGCTGGATACAGAGAGGTAATCACTCTGCTATCCAGGATGTACGTAATCCATGCCAGGATGTTCTTGCCCACTAGCTGTTTTTTATTATGTTTTTGGTTGAAATGGGATTTCATTCAAAGATCTTGTGTTCAGTCAGCTGTGACTTTACAAAGCAATCACTGTGGGGCAGAAACCTGATGCTTGTTCAGTGATAGATGTTTGTTTAAAGCTGGAAGAAAACTTATTCAGCCACTGTCTTAAGGATCAGACATTCAAATAAGCAATTGACTTTCATAAAAATGCTTATTAGAACTTAAAAGAAAAAATAATTATTGAAGAGCATATGAAAGTAATAGAACCATAAGGTAGACATTTGTCTTCTCAGTCCAGGAAGTTAAAGTCCTTTAGGGGGCTTTAACCATGCATCCTGGTATGTTTGCATGGTCATACGTTTCATGCATATGCAAGGAGGGGGAATCCCCTCCTCCTGGGCCCATGCAGAGTTAACTGCTTTGGCAGAGAATAATGGCTCTGTACTGCACATGTTTAATTTACCTTGTGTCTCTGATAGGTACTCATATGTTCTAGCTGTATGCGAAATTCAGTAAGCATAATAAAAAATAGGAGGGTGCAATATCATCCATTTCTGTTTCCAAGATGCCGCGTATAAGAAGTGCTTATTCTGTCACAGTTAAATTTGCTGCTGGTCATATACAGAAGGATCTGCTGTTTGGAGTCTCTGTGATGAGCTCATGTTGGCCAGCAGTTCTGGTTATCTTAAATTGAGTAATTGTATCCACTGAGGTCCTGGTTTTATAAAGTCTTATGCAGCTTTCCAGTCTTGTGATGTACAACTTCCCTAAATTTTTTGTGTGATTTAAGAAATCTTGGGTGAAATTCCCTGCTCTGTTACGTATGAGGTCACCCTAAATGATCTGTCTTGGCCTTAAAAAGAAAACAAATCCTGTTGCCCATGCTTGCCAGCATCTGGACATTTTGCTGCTCTGCTGTGTGGAAGTTGTGATTTTGTGGGCTCTGGAAAACTTTACTCAAAAATCCATTTGCAAATCCATAAGGAAATGTGTGAGTAGGGACTAGGGTACTCACAGCTGGAGTATCATGCTAGCTAGTGGCAGCGGTGTGCATCCTCTGGCTTGGGGGGAAGCACGATGGTTTTAGCACATAACGTTTAAAAAGAAATCCATATCTGTTGCCTTCTTTAATGCAGCATAAACTCTTCAAGCATAAGCTTTTCAGTGCTGCATCTTTAGAGAAGCATTTCCTAACGTTTAGATATATTTGATGTTGTTCACTGCATTATGTCTAGAAAGCTTTGTAATTTAGCACCTGAAACACATCTCTCGCTCTCCAAAGAGCAGCTTGGAGAGAAAGAAATGAAGGCAAAGCCTGAAGGGGTTGAAGAAAATGGACTCCTGCTGCAGTTGCACACTTGCACACATCTGGTGCAATTGAAATTTAAGAGCTGAATACATCCACATCTGACCATAGTACAGTCCAAACATTAGTGTTGACACTGGTTTTCTTTTGGATAGGCATACTGGCAGAGTCACTAGCGTGTGGAGCCTTGTCAGCTCTCTAATCTAATAGACTGTTCTTGCCCAGACCATTGTGTGTCAGTATTTTATGTACCAAATGTAGCCAGGTTTAATAATCGGCCATTTTCCCATCTTCTGCCAAACTTTTCTCCTTTTTGTCACAATCTAATGTTTGAGTCAAAATCTGCTATGGTAACAAATTATATACATATTAAAAATGAAAATAAAGATGGAAAGCAGAGTCACAGAAGGAAACAAGAGTTCAAAGTAATGTCATCTGAATTTTTTTTAAAGACTTCGATTCAACTCTGGTTTAAAATTTATTTTACTTCTGTTATGCATTGTGTAAAGATTACAAAGAAATGGGTACTGCTTAAAAGCATGACTGTGGCTCTGTATATGTAAAATTGTGAAAGTCTTCCCTGGACAGATCTGATTTTGATCTATTTGCTTTTTAGCTACTAAACAGTAATTTGTGGAGCTTTCTGGATTGTACTTTTCTTATTTGGAATGCTTGGACTGTTTCAGCTAGGACCTGTTGAGGCTATTTATGCTTATTTCTAGTGACTATATCTATCATATAAAATATGTTACCAGAAAGCTTTTTTCCTTATTGCATCTTTTAAAAGGGCCCTTCACTTGCCTTGCTAGTGGCATGAGTTGCTGCTGTCATGCACTGGGTTGGTGATGCCGAGGACTGGGGACCTTAGAGGTTTGCTAGGGAGTTGCCTGCCTGGTGAACACCAGCACCAGCAGGAGAGGAGCTGAGCCACTGGGAGGGCATTGGAATGGGATCACTCAGTTTCTTTGTAATTTTAATGTTTTATAGGCTGTTTCTTATTCCATGCTGATTTGAATCTTGCACTGGAGTACCACAGCTTGAGTGAAACTTAAACACTTTTGAAACTAAAACCTGGATCAGGGTTCCAGGGCCAGGTAGGTGCTTGCAACTTGCTGTTGGTTGCATGAAATATGCTAGTAAAGGCGTTTGTATCCAAGTTGTCAACCATTTTGATAATTATATCCTGAGATGGAGCAATATCTGCCTCTTGTCATATGAAATGAAGTATGCCATCCAGGTCTGGTGCCTGCTCTACTGGGACATGGGTTCTTCATGATTTTATATGGTGTAATTACACATATGGTTTCTTCTCTCCCTGTACCATTCCTGCATTAAAGTGGGGACAAATCTGTAGCAATGGTCAGAGTTGCTTATCTGAATTATCAGTTAGTTAATGGTTAAGTAATTTGTACTTTAATTGAGTTCATTCCTCTTGGTAACTTAATTACAGGATTTGTATAACTATCAGCAATGATTGAGTGCTTTTAACAAAAGACTGGAGCCTAAATAAATGTAAAGATTCTAAACTGCCACAGTCTGGTTCCTCCGCATGTCGCAGGATGCTGTGTTCTCTGCTCTGTGCTTATTCAGTCTGTTCCTAATTGTGTGTTGGGGGGCTCTCCCAGAGATGTGTTTGACACGATCCCAGCATTCACTGGAACTACCTGAGTTTTTGGACTTCCCTGGAGGATTAGTGTATCTTGGTGAACAATGGTCTAAGCAAGTCATTACATTGTAGTGTATCCTCCTCCATGTCTGTGCTTACTCCCAGCTTCTGGAGAGCCGATTAGAGGCTTGACAGGAACTGTATGGTTATGCTCTAGAAAGGCTTTGGATACATTATTGTCACAGTTGAGGTATTGTAAAAGCTATGCTGTTCCCATCTTTATCCTAGTGAAGTACCTTTTTCAATCGTGCGATATCTTTGGCTAATTACATGGCAATTGCAGTGTACCAGCAGCCACCCACAATTCATTGTCACTTCCTCGGGGACACAGATGGAAAAGGAAAGATAATGTTTTCTTTCTTCAGTCCAGTGATTTAGCTTGCCTCTTCTTTTTTTTTTTAAATCCTCTGCTTCTTCAGGTAATAAAGCCAGATGGTTGTGACAAAGAAACAGAAGCCATGCATGAATCAAATGTCCCTGAGGATATGTTGGGCACTTGCATTCCTCAAGAGGCAGCGAAAGGCAATGCTGGAAGTCCGGATGTCATTATAGAAGCTCAGTTTGATGATAATGATGCAGAGCATGGACAAGACCACTTGCAGAATATGTTGACAGATGACATTAAGAAACTTTTGCTGGATACTGGTGAAAAGGGTGAGTAGATCAGGTTGACGATTTAAACCTTTATTTGAGCAAACTGTTGACATATTACTTTGTTGTCTTGCTTTGCTGCAAGATATAAAATACAGGCACAAAAGCTTAATGCCTTATCACTGCTATCCCTTTCTGCTAAACTGCCTTCATAGTTTTAAATGGATATAAAGGACTGAATTTTATGTAGTTTTGATTGATGCAAAGTAAATCTGTGAAACAGAAGTCACACCTTTAGATTTTGCAGTTCTCAGGGCTGTCTGGGGACTGCTGGTTGCTCTTTAGTTTGAGATGCTGCTGTAGCAGTTTCCTTCATTGCAGCTTGGCTGGCCAATCTGTGTGTCTCAGTTTTGGGATAAGAATATATTTCCTTGGGGGCAGTTAGATTTGTTGCTGTTTTCAAACAGTTGAGTTATGAGCAACTTGAAGATTTGGTCCATTTATAAAGAAAATTGCACTAAAACCTAAAGCCAATTATGCAATCTGTTTTGAAGGCAAACCCATTTTATTCTGAATCTGAATTCCATCCAAACCATCAAGTGTTGCTTAGGGCAAAATAAAATAGGCTTCCTTGTCCCAAACTATGCTTATGCTGCTCTTTGCATGTCCTTTCTAGTACTAAATCCCTTCCTGAAGAGCTGTGTGTTGAAAGAATTCTGACAACTGGCACATTTAACATGTGCCTTCAGCTGCTGGTAAAAAATTTGCCAGGACAGATATTCTGGTGCATTCTTGATGTCTGCCCTAGTTGTCCAAAAAAGATGGCAGTAACTTAGGACAGAAGTAGTTGTTGATCTCTGACAGATCTTGGTGGTGTTTGTAAAGCTGTGTTTTCCTGAGTGATTGCTTTTGAAGATGCACAGATCTCTGTTCATACTGTTGGTAGACTTCCATTTTTCACGCTCATCTGTTAATGAAACTGGAAATAAAATTTGAGTGGAAGTAGTGTAGTTTTTATGACAAAACATTGGTTTCAGCTTATGAATGCAGCTGCCACCTCACCAGTTCATGAATGCTGTTTCCTTCTGGGTACCTCCACCATCTTTGAGTTACTGCCAAGGTGTGTGAACCAACTTCCATCTTGTTCCATTGCTTTCCAGCATGGGGCTTTAGTTGGGAGCTACCCATCTCCTTTACACAGCTAGTTATTAACCTCATCTTTTTTGCAGTATTGGACACTGTATTATAGCTACACACTGTTGAGCTGCCACTTTGATTCGACAGTTCTCCTAAAATGCTCCTAGTCACATGTTGTGTCTGATAGCAGTGCCAAATTAAAAGTCTGAGAAATACATTCTAGTTTGACACCTTTTTTTTACTTTACCTGTATGACTGTGCCTTAGTGTTAAAGGCTTGATGAGAATTACTTGGTGCTTCATAGTTCCTTGAGATGTTCTGGAGCGACCCGTGTTCGAGTTTGTCAGGTTATCTCTTAATCTGAGTGGTTTTTGCAATTTAATTCTATCTTTGGAGAATATTTGTAGGACAAATGTTAGATCAGCTTATCGTCTACACGGTTGAAATCCAACCTACTTTTCCATTGCAGTTGCCTAAACCAGCTATTTTCTTTTGTTTTCAAGGCCTTTCCGTGTTCATCCTTAACAAGCCTTGTGGCTGGTGTGGATGTACCAGTTAGATTTCTGCTGAGTTTGTATTTTGCTATCGCCTCTTTTAATAGTTGCTTCAGCTTCTTTGGTCATATAACCCATATGTATTTTTCTCTAGTTTCTTCTTGCTCTGGTTTTTAATGCCCTTCTTTTTTTATACATACAAAGTTTATGATGCTGCTTTTTCTGAAGGTGTTTTTGAGCAGTTGATGATTGCTTTGGCTTGTTTCCTGTCTTTCATGCAATTTTTCATATCGTCACTTACCCAGATTTTAAGTCTTGCCTGGAAAATAGCTATAGTTATTCTAGCATCAGTGATAATTGTCATGAAAAAAGAAAAGTTCCTGACAAATTCAGCCTCTACAGGTGTGGCTCAAAATGCTTTTTTTAAAAGGACCAACCCGTTTTTCAAGGCAGACCTTAGCCTTAGAGGATAATATCTGCTGGACTTTCTAAGGCCATCCACTCGAATGTGGTACCAGCATCAGGAGGAAGAGTGCTTTGCAGGGTTGGTGAGTGGATGTGCCCTTCCCTGTGTGTAATGTGGGCATCCCCTGGGAGGGCTGCTTTGGCTGATGCTGCCTGTTGAATTTTCCTTTCAAGCTAACCGTTTATGAGTCTTTTTTTATGTTACATCCTTTCTGCTGGGAACAACTATTGCAGCAAAACACAGAGAGGTTGATGTGAGATGAGATCACATGGGGGGATTTCTTGCTGGCCCACCAAAACCAGTGTTTTAGTTACATTCCCTGAGAGCATGGCTTTGTGGGGTTTATTACACAGACTCATTGCATGGCCTCATGAACAGAAGGGAGCAAAAGAAATAACTCGTGGCCGGTGCAACTCTTAAATGAACACTTGTGATAGGCTTTCTTCTTTCTTTTCCTAATATTGGCAATACTGAAGGTTTCAAGCGGGACAAAGATGCCATCAAGGGTACCATATTTAATCAAATAAAATCAAGAAATAGCCTATCATGTTCTAATGGGCACTTTATGTATGTATGTATATGCATACAGGTATGTGTGCATACGTATAAAAAGATACTAAATATGTAAGAGACCTAGACAAAATCCAAACTAAACAAAACCCCCACCATATTTCTGGGGGTAAAAAATATCCATAGCTACTCTAATAGAATCAAATGTAAATTTTACTCATTCTGGGGCAAAAAACCAGAGACATGTTGAGATGATGCTCAAATCTTTGTGCATGTACACAAGCTCTGCAGATTGCTGCCTCTCAGTTGCAAGATGGCATTTGTCCTTTCTGACAGAGGAGTAGAATTATGCAATATCTCTGTTACTGGCTTATTTGTTCTGCTGCTGATGGTTAGAATGAACCGTGAAGAACAAAAGTAGATGTGTCGTTCAAATAAAAGCACTCTGGGTCACTCTGGGAGCTCTGGCTGTTTTGATGTCTTTTCTACCCTGGCCCATGTCCCATCTCTTCTTGCGGCTCTGTTCCTGTTCAGAACACAGTCACGCCTTCCACCGCTAGTTACATGCTGGGGCAAAGAATTTGAAGTTGCCCCTTGCTGTCAGAAGCTCTGAAGCATGAAACATTGTGTTCACTGATTTCGGCCCAAATTTGAGTGGACTGAATTTCCCTGAAGTTGTTGTATGTTGGGCTTCCTATGCCTCTGTGGGGCTTAAAGCAAACTGGTTGAAATTGTTATGCTGTTATGCTGCAGGCTGAGACTCTGATGTTAGACTTGTCTTCACTAAATGCTGCAGTTGAGAGCTGTGCTTCCTGCCTTTCTCTACCTAAGACCCCAGAAGGGATGGGATAAACAAAAGGGAAGTCCATAGAAGTGAAGAAACCATTCAGCCTAATTCTCAGCCCATGAACTTTCTGAAAGATCTTGTCTTGTGCTTGTAAAAGTGCGTCAGTTTTGCTTTGCTCAAGGATATTTAAATAAAAGTTCGTAACTGGGGTCACTCTGCCAGAAGCTGTCCTGGTCAAATGAGTTTGCTCTGCTTTTCTGAACTTCTATTGCAGAGAAGCTGGGTTAAAGGTTATCTTCAGAAAAGTCTCTGACCTAGGAAGTGATGACTCATTTTCCTCTCCAGCATGCTGTTCTACACAAAGAGCAATATTGTCCTGTTCTAAAGGTAGATTGTCTTAATGTTAAGTTTTGGTCGCTGGAGATAGGGCTTTTTTATCAAAGTTGGAAAACTCTTCCCTCTTGGATTTTCAGCTGTATTTCCAAGGTGTAAATATCTCCACATGCTGAACAAACTTTCTGTGGTTTTTATTTCTTCACAAAGACCGTAAGAATGAGCACCCTGAAGAAAGTTTCTCAGCTCCCCTACTAGTGTCCTTCAAACCCTCTCTGGGGTTTTTGAAATCCAGCAAAGAACACAGCAGCAGCATCCTGGCACTGGCCTGAACAAGACTGTGTACATAGAAAGATTAATTCTCTGTAGTGCTTGGTACTGCCAGGCAAGTCCTCTGTCTTTTACCCTGAACCCTCAACTTATTCTGTGTCACTGCTATCCAGAGAAGTCATCCACCAGTCAACATGACCTTTGCCAGGTCTGTAATTCTTTTCCTTAATCCTCATTCACATTGACTACTGCAACAGAGGTAGTGTAACTTTTATCTTATCACTTAGTGCTGAGCTGGGATACAGTATTTCTGTAAGTTGTCACTTCAGTAGAAGGATTTTCCTTATACTCCATTTCAATACGTAATAAAAACTTCTCTGTATCCTCTCAACCTAGGAGAAGTGCAAAATGTTCTGTACAGAATACTTTACAATGCTGTATCTCTATACAGACTTGCATGTCACATGAGTTTCATACAAATGTGAGCTGTCTCTTGTTAAATATTGCAATCAGATTACTCTGGTAAAGAAACATCAGCAATTGGACAGTAGCAGCCACTTGTACACTTGAGAATGGCAGCTGTGCTCATAAAAGTGCCTCAGCCTTTCTCAGCAAAAGGATATTCAAATAAAAGTTTGTAAAACAGTGTCACTATGCCAAAAGCTATCATTTTCAAACTAGTTTGCTCACCTTTTTTCAGCTCTTCTCATGAGAGATCTTACTGTACCAGATACACAGAATACCCTGCTTCCCATGGGGTGGCTCACAGAAGTCATCAAGTTGGTGGACTGGCTGCCCTTGCAGCAATCAAATAGTTGTGTTTGTTCAGGATTTCCACTTACGCCTACACTTTTGCAAATCAGAGCTTGAATATATGAATGTCCGAGGCTTGCTCACTGCCTTGACATAATGATATTTGAATAGAAATAGCTCATTTACAGACAGAGTAAACTGACAGCTAACTCAGCCAATTGTGTGATGGGAAATTGAATTGAATAGCTGATATTTAATAGGTGGAGTTAACAGAATTTAGGTTGGAGCTGCTGTACAACTTGCTCCTGTCTCC